AATAAAACAATTTTATTTATAATTCTACTAACATTAACTAATTAAATACCAAATACGTAACAATATTAACACCAATCCCACATTTTTTCTAATATTCTCTTTTTAACTCTTCATCTCTTTAATCCCTTACATCTGTAATATTAATAACAATTAATCCTTAATATTAATAATCAGTAATCCTTACTATTGATAATCTTTAATATTATAAGTCTACTATATCTTTAATTACATTATTTTACATTTTTCATCACACTGTCAAATTCTATTGCATTATACGATTTTTTTCTATAACGTTTTTAATAATTAATAATAACACATTGCAATTCCACTAACCTTAATACCAGATAGTTGTTTTACTCCTATTCAATACTAATACTATTATTGTTAAAATTTTTATTGCTTTTACATTTACTGTTTCATATATTAATAATAGCAACTCGGTTAATCATTATATCATTTACATTTAATTATCAATAATATAATTTTGTATTACATTGTAAGGATTATGTTAATTTTATTAACAGTTAAATTTTGAGTTAAACTTTTTTCCTGTCAAATTCTTAACTTCAACTCAATCCACTTCTGCCTTCCGGCCAAAAAGTAGTTTTAGATTCACGGCTGAGTACATAATGAGGAAGAGCGGTATTTAAATGGCGAAGTTCTTCGGTCTAAGCGAGAGAGTTACCAGGTATTCTGTCTGCACGCCTCCGCCTTTTTAGGCTTCTCTCTCGTAAGCTATTATTACGCTCGGCCGTACTTAAGCTTCGCAGTCAATTAGTGTTAAGGGGCCAACTCGGTTAGAATCTCGATAGCTTCGGATATATCTCCCTTAGTTTAGATTAATTTTAGTTTACTTCTTAGCCTCTTAAGTTCGAGCCCAAGTGTCGGCTTTTATTATACACTCCAAGACGGAGTTCTGTTAAGTCTTATCTGAATAATAAAGGGTTATTTACCCTTCCATCTTGTTGTTTCTTGTTGCACGAATTAAAGCGATCATTCACTTATCAGTTCTTAAAGATTCTTCACATTCAACTGTAAATTAGCATTTATAAAGTAAGGAACTCTATAACGTGTATTAGTATTATAGTTAACTGGGTATTTTAGTTATCAAGATGTATAGCTGTAATATTTAAACATTTATAACAGTGCTTCAATATAAATCATCTTTCCCAAATCTTTCAGTTTACAATTTATTACCTATTCACCTCCTTTCTTAATACTTACCTTAAATATTTTCTCGTCAATAAATTTAAAATACTCCTTTTCTTCTATTGATTACAATACTTACCTAATACCTCTTTTCTCATAACTATAAGAATATTCTTGTATTATCTAATATTAATATATCAATACTACTAATCATTACCATTATTTTTCTAGAATAATTAATATTCTTAATTTCATTTAATTACTATTTTATCTATAGTAAAGTTACTTTTCTTGTCACATCAACGTTATTGTAACAAATCTTACTACATTAATCTTTATATATATTTTAATATGATTTATTTATATATGTCAAGTGTAATATATCAATCAGTAAGCAATCAGTAAGCAAACGATAATATTGCTACTGTTATTACATTTACTTATACTTCTTTTATAATGCAGTAATTTGGTTGTAATGCTGTATTTATTTTTTACAATTTAACTTTGGATGATTATTAATCACTTTTCTATATTCTTAATACCATTTCTTTACTGTTCTCTAATCTTTAAAATTGAAAAAACTCCTCTTTTTCCAATTACTCATAAGGCTTCATATTATTCATAAAATACTCCTCTATTTATATCTCCTTATCTATATTAACACATGCACCTATATTTATGTCTTCTATTCTTTCTCTCTTTTTTACTCCTTTACAAATAAAAAATTTTAATATTTTTGTAGTATAACTAATATTTATGTATCTATTTATTATTACTATTTTTATTATTTAATTATCATTTACTTTTAGCATATCTATAATATTATACGTAGTCTATATTTTACATTTTCTAAATTTATTTAATGTTTATTCTATATTTAGTGCTTTTCTCATTCTTTGTTGATTTGGCTTAATTATTCCTAAATTATATATGTCTAAATTCTTTAAAATATATAAGGGTGTTTTATGTTATATAATTTGGTTATTCTTCAAAATTATAAATAAAAATTTGTAAACATAAATTTTAAACACATGTAACAATTCTCTAAATACTATATTATGAGCTTTAACATTGCCATCTATGTAAATACCATAATAGCTGAATGATCTGTTTCTGTATGTCAAATGTACATTTGTAAAACCATTGTGAAACTATTTCAAATAAATATCGATGATAGCGGATGGTAGGTACTTTCCATCAATAGAGCATAGAAGCTGAAAGTTGAAATGATGGTGTAGCTGCTCTATTGATGGTCCCCTGTCCTATATATATATATACCATATATATATGTGCTAGTGTCTAATGTATCTTTCTGAAGTGTATAATATAGTGCTGAGAGTATACTAAGTGTATAAGAAAGCCGCATGTGTAGAAAACTTTGAATCAACTGATTTATTTAATTGATATGACGAGCCACCACTGCCTAACACTAACGATGGCTAATTAAGAAATAAAATGAAAACCTGTTTATGTAATTTCAACTTTATTAATTTATGAATTTTTAATATATTCATAGAATAATTTTGATGTTGTGCTTGACATTTTACACATAACGCGTTTATTATAAATGGTACATACCCTTACAAAGATAGCAAAAATCATAAAATCAGTGGGATATTTGGCCTTGAATTTGAGAAAATAATGCATCAGTGTTTATATAAATCGAATAGATTGCAATTATCAGGAAGATCTCGAGTTGTCCATGCGATATTCTGGTTCTACTTTTAGTGTACTTCACTCTTAAATATGCGTTCCGCCAAATAATGATGGCATGAATAACGCATAACTTTGCAGCAAGGTATAATTTTCTATGGCTAAGTGCGATTTATAAAAGTCCAACAAAGAGACGTATTCAGAGTTTGAGTGTATGACTATAACACTATGCATTCTGTTTGAAAATTTGGCGGGAGTGTATATATGGCGACTGTAAAGAAAGATGGAAAAAATAGAAAAATGTTGATAATTTTCCTAAAAATTTTGAAAGTTATTTTCAAATTCTTCTATCAAAACGAAAATTAAGGCTGCGTAGTTTCCCCATTTTTAGGGTTATGTTTGCCCGCACATAGCAATAATTCCGCAAACAGCTCGAAATAGGATTTGAGAATACGGTTTTCTAACACACTTTGAAGCAGTTGGAATATAACGCTGCTGGTATGAATTGCAGCTTGAAGTTGAGAAACTCTGAAAACACTAATCTTCATAACTTCACTTTGGAGATACGGACAAACTCAAACAACATATCAAAATGAAAATAATCACCTCGCGGGCAAGTCAAAAGAAGATTTGAAACCATCACTCCATTCAAAACGCATTTCATTTCGTTCCAACTCTGAGCGTCAAATGACCCAGTCATTGCTATTGATATTTCTTTTGTACATACCTTGAGATTTATCATACATATTAGTTTCTTATACATATCTCAATGTTTCTTTTGCCCTTCGCATTCACTTCTTGGGCCGCATGTTTCCTACGTGCCGTGGGTTGGGCACAAAAGCCCTGTAGCATCCTATGAGTACTAGTATAATTAGGCTACATGCCCTCAAACCAACATACAAACCTTTACGACCACTACCCCTATGCCCTGGAGCACTGCCTAATAATTACTGCTACAACATCCTCGTGCTATTTAAATCAAAGTTTTTTTATCTATGTTCTTAGTGAAGCTACAATAATCAACGCCTTACGCAATCTAACTGCAGTCTTCTGCACACGAGTACTCACGAATTCATCATTCATGACCTACCTGTATTTATATGCAACAGAACTGCCCAACACTAACTTTGTGCTCCAGCCTTCATGTGACTTCATGTACTCCATTTATCCTTTTGTGCCTTAAGTGATTATGTGTGTGTACCTGTTTTATGTGTTTTCTGTTTATGCATTTTGAGCTTTGTATTTTGTGTATTATTTGCTTATGTGTATTTATGTGTTTTTATGTGTACGTCTTATTGTATTTTTAGTTTAAATACCTACCATCTGTAACACCACAGCTTGCCTCTTCAATCTGTAATACAATCCTACTAATGCACTTGTAAGGCCATCTCCTGGTGCAGCCTCGTGGGGCTCCAGGGAGCTTTTGCTATAGTTGGAGGAGGGCGTGGAGCACATGCCTGTTTACCTCTGTTAGACACCAGGCGTTCCAGTCTTCCGTAACCTACCTACCCCTCTGCCTCAGTAAAGTCACCATGCATTGCAGTGTTTCCCCGCGAGAGTACCTGGGAGCCGTACTAAAAGACTGCGGGCTATACTTAATGACGAGTATGACTTCAGTCTTAACATGGAGGATCAACTTTCCCCGCGTATGGAGTTAATGTCGTCAGCGACAATATGAACTTTTTGTTACATGTCTAGATCGATATATATCGGGACTGCACTTGAAGTGCGATCAGTTTTGTTCTTTAGCAACAGAATTTTATAGTCCAACGTTACGTGAAAACATCTTTTGACAAGTGGGGTCGCCATATGAGAACGCTCGCTTAGGTGTGTTGTTCCAACAGTTCCTTTTCCTAACAGGCCTTCTTAAAAATTTACTTAAATGCATGGGCACAATACCGTAGCCAGGCCCGTCTCTGTACCTGTCCTCTTTGTTCAAGGAGCAAATGGTGGAGGAAAATTTCGCAATGAAGGGTCCAGTTTCTAATGTAAGGTCTCCTGTTTTCCGAAATTTTAATTTCTGCTATTAACTTATTGCCAAATCAATGCGGATTTTACGAAGTAAGATAACTTTTTTAAGCAGATTCCCAGGATACTTTGTTGCGTATCCAAACAAAACAATAGAACTTTTTTAAATAAGAACTATTTTTTTTATTATATTTTCAGTGCTTTTTTTTTCAAAACTGTTCTCTTTTCAGGTCGTTACAAACTTTCACGACAACACCTAGCAGACCGTCATAAACATGCTGTATACGGTGATATCGTACGTGAGAAAATTGGATCCTTTAATGTTGTGCACACCTTCGTACCAGAGGTTATGGAGATATTATGTAAACATGAAGGACAGTATCCTTCAAGGGGTGAATTATCCACTATCAAAGCATACAGGGAATATAGAAAAGAATGGTACAAATCAGGAGGAGTTATGGTTCTGTAAGTATAGAAAATATAGTTTAAAAGCCGTAGATTAACTTTTTTTTATTTTGTTTCTAACTGCATTATTTTCTTTATTTTATTTATCTTGATAAATTACAAGGCAACTGAAATGTCAATAAAATAACAGAACAAAAGTACAGTGCTTTAAAGAAGAATTTTATATTATATGTCTTACCATCATAGCATATCGCTAGTTTCCGAAATTCTGTCGCTTTATTACTTCAGTTTGAAAAATCTGAATATCTATGAATTCACTAAAACTGTTTTTAAAGAACAGAGTGGGTACCCGAATTAGCTAATATACAAGTATGTACTAAGACATATTTATCAATTAATTGGCATGAATATTCAATAGAAATGTATAGATTTTAAAATTAATTATGTATGTGGTTTATTTTAGTTCCAATATATATATATATATAATTGAAACACAAATTGTAAAGCTAACTAGTAATGAGACGTAAGACCTATTTGGTCTTAAAAATTTTTTGCGCATAATGCTGCAAAAAGATATGAAATAATAGTAGGTAGAAACATTGCAACGATCTTGCTAAAAAGTTACCAGGACATGTAGCTCCACGAAATAGTTCAACGTTGTATTATCAGGTTCTGCGTTCCTCCTTACTTGCTTAGGGAACATTTAACTGTCCTGACTCGGAACAGGGAGCTTCCTAAAGCTATGTTCAATAAATTTGGGAAGTAGACAATACACGCAGGAAGGGTATACGAAACCCTTTATTTTTCTCTCTTTACAATGATTTCCGGACTTCGGAATACCGAGACCAACCACTTGTGGTCTGAACGTAAGAATATAAAATATTAACTAAACTCTAACTAAACTAACTTTGGATTAATCAAACAAGTGCCTAACTCTAAGATTGGCCGTATATTAACAAAAGGCCGTATGTAGTACAGAGAACTGCTAAAACTACGATACGTTTAAAATTATCAAGAGGATTAAACCTCTGGCCTTGAAGGCAACCAGCAACCGAGTAAAACTGCTATGGCAAGCGGCCTGCTTCTAATAGCTCCTTCCTCTCTCTTGCTTGGCAAAAAGCAACAACTTAAGTATTTTGGCGTTCCCAAGACAAATTTGCATGAATAAGTTAAAGCTTTTAAATTCTGCCCGGAAGTAGAAAATAAGAAGTGATAGTAAAGATTTAAAATAAAATAAACGTTAGTAAAACTTAGGATCCTTACATACTTCCCGGCAGATTTAATTAGTTTGAAACTGAGGTCTAAAACGACCTTGTTGAAAATTTTTAGCTCTAGAATCTAACGCAAGGCCAAACTTTTACAAACATTTTTCACTAGAAACTAAAAATTAAAAAAAAAAGTCGTTTCTACATTATCAACTACATGGACAAGATTTTTTATCTGTACTGCATCTATAAACAGGAGTTTCTTAGTTGAAATCTGGTTCCTTACAGAGTTCTGGAAGGAAAACTAGGTTAATGAAATGTTACACAATTAAATGGCAAGTAACATGAATACTTATATTTCTCTTTTACCATTTTTATTTCATTCATGACGTTATTTAATTAACTCCCCGTGCTCTCTGACATATGTTGTAAAGTAAAACACCAAACACGAGCGTGTCTATGTACAAGTGTTCAACACTACCGCCTGCAATCAAAACACTAACGTGTTAAAATTCAACATAACAAGACCTCATAACACACCTTATATTCATCTCTAAACCCTGAGGTACTATTCTGAAAGTGGCTAACTCTGAAGTGTAGCGTCAGAGAGCCTAACTACATTCATTCAACCTTTGACACATATTCACAATAATTTGCTCTTTTTACAGTCACACGAATAAGTTAAAACGTTTGGCATTACTTTCACTTTTAACATATCACAGTATTTCTTAACGTTTAAAATAACAGTTCACATTGTATATAAGGACATATTAACATGCCGTTAATTTTACGCATTTTAAAACATACATTAGTAGTACATTGTTAACTTCTATTCTTTTCCAAGCAAGTGCCAATTCTTCTACATTGAAATACTACATTTCAAAAGTCTTTCAGACTAAAACTTCTTTCTTGCCAGAATCTTTTAAATAAAATTTTATACAATAACTTTTACAATTTTCTTAAGGTACCTTTCTCAAAGATTATCAATGCTTTTACAATATTCAACTATTTGCACATTCCTATTATACATTAATTTAGTTTTACTCCTGAGTAAAAGAAAAACATAATAACAAAATAGGTAACAACTCATTTCTCGCCTTTTTGGCGATAAAGGTAGACCTCACATGAGGTAAAACTTCTTGAATTCTGCCACTTGCAGTAAGAATGAAAGATTAACTTAAGGTTTCAAAGTAACATAAAGTTTTACTTATCTTTGTGATATTCCGACATTCTTTTTTCTGCCCAGTCCTGGAAGGTAGCGAAGACTACGGTTTGGTTTATATTCCTTCTTGTGCGGGTTCGCCCTTCAGTTCCTCCCTCCATGAGCTTTCTTTTCCTTCCAGTTCGGTCACCCTTGAAGACCTTCTTTTTAGCCTCTGCCTGTGGTCTGCGCCGTTTGATGGCAGCTGGTCTTGGCGGAACCGGGACAACTCTCTCTCGTTCCTGCTTGGATCTCGTTGCTGGCTGTTCAAATTTTCCTTGTCTCTTTGCCTCCGCAGCTGGTGTTCCTTCATCAATTCGTCGACATTTGCTGCGTAGGCTCCTATCCGATGGGTAGATCTTCCGTTTATTAGCCGTGTTATAGTTGCTGTCATTTCTCCTGGCTCTCTTTGCATTCGTCGTACTTCTCCCTTCTTCATTCTGCGGGTGGTCGTGCCCTCTCTTTTCTGGTCCGTGGAACGGCTTCCTTTTCTTGTTACCTTCAATTTTCCAACGGGGAAACTTTCTTTTCAATTGCTCCTGCCTCCTAATGGCTTGCCCTTGTGATTGTCGTTGTTCCACCTCTGGAGCTTGTGCCTGCAGTGCCTGCCGTGCCGGATCCTGCAAAAGATCTTTAAATATTGGCATTTTATTACGATTATAGAATGGTTTTATCTGGTCAATGTTTGCGGAGCATGTTTCACCATTCCTGGCTTTTAACACCACTACAGCCTGAGTTATATTTTCTATGACATATGGTCCTTCAAATCGTGGAAAATTTTGGCAGTTTTATCTTCTGGTGCTGAAGAAAGTGAATGCTTAATTTTTAACACTTCATCTCCTACTTTATAAGTTACTCCCCGTCGTTTCATATCATAATAAAGTTTCTGTTTTCTCTGTGCTACTTCAGTGTTCTTTTTTGCTTCTTTAATTAATTTTTCTATATCGCCCATTTTAAATTCTGGGGCTCTTTGTTGAACATAAAATAATTTATCTAACGGCGTTATAATCTTTCTGCCTAAAAATAACTCAGCAGGAGTTTTGCCCGTCGTATCATGTTTTGCGGTCCTAAGGGCGAAAGCTAATTCATTGACATAGTTTATCCCAGCTTTTATGAAAATTTTTAACATAACTACGGATAATTTTCACTATATTTCTATTGACCCGTTCCGCTATATTTGATTGCGGCCGATACGGGACCATTTTTAAATGACGTATGCCCAGTTTTTTGGCACATGTCTTCAAATATATTACTTACAAATTGAGGACCATTATCCGATATAACTTTTAGGGGCGGCCCCGTATTTTAAAATATATTTATTTAAAATAGAATCAGTAACTAATTTCGCGGAGGCTCGTTTTAAGGGAACAATTTCGGTCCACTTACTAAAATGATCAACCATAACAAGGAGATAGCGACTTTTATTTAACTGACTTTTTGGGAAAGGGCCCAATAAATCGATGCCAATTATTTCATTTGGAAATTCGGATTTAATACTATTTAGAAACCCGGCCGGGCGGAAATTAATATAATTAACTGCTTGACATGTTGGGCAGGACTGGACATACGCCCTTGTTAACTTTTGCAGTTCAGGAAAATAAACTGCTTCGCGTACGCGTTGGATGGTTTTTCGAATACCAGCATGAGAAGCTAAAGGGCAGTCGTGTAACTCCTGCAGGTATATTTAATCTAAGACTAGCTGGGATAACAGGTCGAAATTCGTTGTTGGAATTCGTAGTTTTTGTATAAAATAATAGACCATCTATTACCATCTATTAGTTCGTAATGGCCGCCCCCGCCCTATTTCTTATCGCCACAATATCTTGGTGGCTAAAATTTTCAGGATCCTTTAAATACTCATAAATGCTTCCAAACTCAGGATCCTTACCCAGTTCGGTTATTACAGTTTCTCGGGAATTATGTACATGCTGTGAGCATTGCCACCTTTACAGTATTACCTTCTTCATCTATTTTTATTCTGGATAGGGCATCTGCTACGATATTTTCCTTTCCGGGGGTGTGCTTGATTACCAGATTATACTCTTGTAACTTGAGTGCCCATCTTATTAACCTTGGGGATAACTTTTTCCTGAGTACAATCTAGTTACCGCCGCATGATCAGAATACACTGTTATTGGCGCCCTTTCCAAAATAGACTCGGAACTTTTGCACTGCTAACAGAACTGCAAGTGCCTCTCTCTCAGTCGCGGAATAATTTTTTGTGTTTGATTTAAAGTTCGGACTAAAAAATGCCACGGGCTGCTGATTTTGCGAAAGTACCGCTCCTACCGCATAATCCGAAGCATCCGCTGAAATTTCTAAATTCTCATCCTTTTCAGGAAATTTCAAAACAGGGGCTTGCGTTAATGCTTGCTTTAATTTTTCGAAAGCACTATTGGCTTCGGCCGTCCACGAGAATCTTGCCTTTTTCCTTTTTAATTTTAACAATGGTTCAGCAATAGCTGCAAAATCTTTTATAAAGGACCTATAATATGAACAAAGTCCTAGAAAAGAAGAGAGCTTCTTCGCCGTATTTGGCGGCGGATACTTTTGCACAGCGATTATTTTTGATTCGTCTGTCTCGATTCCTTTCTGAGATATTTTGTAACCTAAGTATTTTAATTCAGGGGCTGCAAATTTGCACTTTTCGACAT